GAGAGAGAGAGAGAGAGAGAGAGAGAGAGAGAGAGAGAGAGAGAGAGAGAAAGAGAGAGAGAGAGAGAGAGAGAGAGAGAGAGAGAGAGAGAGAGCTTGCAAGGAGGGCAATCATGTCCAAAAACACTATAGAATCGCAAAGTAAAAGGTTGCCTTGGCTGAGAAGGTAAGTACCTCAATCGTATTCGATATTTCCGAGAAAGGACATCTGGCTCACCATCTCTGCCATCAAAAACACTGCACCAGAATCACAGCAGAGATATCAGATAGCCGATCAATTTTCTTTCTCTCAGGCAACGTTGTCGGCATGGTTCTTGCTTGGTTCGTTGTTCATAAAATGGAGTCTCTAACAATGGTATCAATTTTGATGCCTTCAAGGAAAAAAGACGAAGGAAGAAATGAAGCATGACCACAGTGGGCATGGACAGATGAATCTGTATTCTTCAGTAAGCATTCAAATATCCTGATTTAGCCGGGATGAAGAAGACGTCTTAGGACCGTCACCAATGGGCATATAGCTTAGTTGGTACAGCCATGTACTGTTGAAATAGCAGAAATACAGACCCAAATTCGAATCCAGATGGATCTAGATGAATGAAAATTCTTGAAAAAAGAAGCCTTAGGAGATATATACACAATGTATAGACAGACACAGTAGAAAAAAGAGAAGAAGAACTAGGGAACCGGCAACAAAAGGAAACAAACAGGAGATGGGCAAAATTGAGCAAACAAAGAATGCAAGGGAAGATAGCGAGAGGGAAGAAGAATGAAGGAAGGAGGGGAGGGGAAAAAAAAAGCGAAGGTGTGGTTTCACTGTGTAATTTCAAATTTGTGACAGCGCACAATTATTCAGGCTAACCTTCTGAATAATTGTGCGCTGTCAATAGCTTTCTCGGCCTTTTGGCTAAGTAAGATCAAGTGTAGTGTCTGTTCTGATCAGTTTAATATCTGATCCGTGGTCCGTCGGGCCACATTGAAAAAAAAAAATTTAAAAAATTGTGCGCTGTCACAAATTTGAAATTCCACAAGCAGTTCCGAAAATGGTGATGCATGAACAGGGATGTGAAAAAAGGGTCACACCGTCACACTCGGCGTTTACATTTAGATCGGCAGAGTTGATATGGTGGCTCACCGATAGCCAGCAGCAACAATCTCCTTGTGAAGTGCATCACCGGCTTGGTAATCATGATTTGCCCTCGCAGCTGCACGCTTTTTCACGGCTGCAGCGACTGCTTCTGGGACTGCGGCTCTCTCCTTGTCAGAGCTTTCAACGTCTACAAAGCAAACTATGGTATCTCCATCTGTCACTGCCTTGGCATCGACCTTTGGGAGTGTTGACGGGCACATTCAGAATCACGCACAAGAACATGGGACAGGGTGGGTGGGACCCACTTTAGAATCAGTTAAAGCCTGTGAAATGAGCAACGTAATCAATGGACAGGTTGAGTACCTCGATGATGGCTTGATTAAGGGGCCCAAATTTTGTATTTGCAGTCAGGAAAACAGTTTGAAAAATCCATTCCCAGCATCCCTCGAACATAACACACCCCCACCGGACCCTAAAACTAGCTTGTATGCATTCAACATTTTCATCTTTTTGCCCAGTAGACTGCATTTTGAAACTCAAACCGTGACTGCGCCCTAGTTTCCCCCTTGATTAATTCACAATGTATGTGAAGTGAGAGTGCTTGGGAGGGTGATCCCCCGATTGCAAATTTTCTTAACGTTTTTGCTTTTTTGTCAATTCAATAGTATAACACCAAAGATCGGCAAGAGCCTTGCAGTTACAGTGGTGTATCCGCCGGGGGGAGAATTGAGGCATTCTACCGGTACGACACGGACTTTTCTGGGTCAAATTTGGCCATAGTTATTAGAATTCAATGCATCCAGGAAAGCCAATGTCTGAGTATGCCTTTAGTGTTTCCACTTCGTGGTTGTGCAGTATTTGTAAACATGGGTGCACTTTATTTTCCTTGTTTCAAATTGAGTGTAGGGATCGATATGTGAGTTCTGGAACGTTCTCTCTTTCCCCTCTTCCTACCGACTTGTCGTCATTTCAAATCATGTAAATTGTTTGTAGTTAAGATAATAATGAAAGGAGCCAACTTCAACCAAGGTCAAATCAGCATAGAACAAGTCTTAGGGTCGTAGCTTTTGGTCAATCGAGGAAACGTTCAAAGATCAAAACTCAGTTCGAGAGCCTCTGCAGAGGCTCCAGATAGTCCTTAGGTCGGTAGGCCGGAAGTCAAGGGCCAAAACGAGGTGCCTACTGTAGGGCTTCCACAAGTTCTGGATAATTATGATGCAAGGAACTGAGGTCAAATCAGCACAGAATAAGTATTTGGGTCAGCAGAAGCTTTTGGCGAAGGAAAAGTCCGAGGGTCAAGAATCAAAAGTCAGTCAGAGAGCCTCTAGAGAGGCTCCAGAGAGTCCTTAGGTCCTAGGTAAGTCAACAGTCTGGCCGGGTGTGCAGATGCCCGAGAGTCAAAGATTTGTAAACAGTTAACCACGGCCACAGATTACACACAATCCAGAGGCCCAGCAGCAGATGCCGGAAGCTTAGAGGGCCAGCTGTGTGTGGCAAGAAGGCACACACTGGCCTGTGCGGCTCTTGGCAGCCGGATCAAGCCAGCCCATTTACCCTCAACATGTTTGATATGGGTAGCAGTTCGATCCTCTGGCATGGCTGCCATAGTGGGAGAGGCATACTAGCCTTGTGTTGTCCTCTGAACATTGGAGCTAAGCTCCGGAGGTCCGCCATAGCCATCAGCATAGCCAAGTAGTGGAAGAAGGTGTAGGATGGCTATGGTGGACTTCTAGACTGGCTGGCAGTAAGGGGAGGATTAGGACTTGGACATTGATTCTGGTTCATTCTTTTATTGTTTAATATTATTATTACTTTTTTCGTTTTATTATTATTATTATTATTATGAAGATGTTGGAGAGACGTTGGAGGAGGGAGCTGGTGGCGAGATGAGGGAGGAATGACATTGGTTCTTCTTCTTTTTCTTTGGCGAGATGAGGGAGGAATGACATTGGTTCTTCTTTCTTCTTCTTCTTCTTCTTCTTCTTCTTCTTTCTTCTTTCTTCTTCTTCTTCTTCTTCTTCTTCTTCTTCTTCTTCTTCTTCTTCTTCTTCTTCTTCTTCTTCTTCTTCTTTCTTCTTCTTCTTCTTCTTCTTTCTTCTTTCTTCTTCTTTCTTCTTCTTCTTCTTCTTCTTCTT